TACGAAAATGAAATGAAAATTTAGTTTCGACTTGGATTTGTTTATTACGACATATTGACGAAGACAGAGCGGCACGGAGCAGCCGGAGGAAGGCTCTGCAAATTGGCAGTGGCGAAGTGGTGAAGTGGCAAAAATAAACAAAAACAAAATAATAATGTATAAATGTGAAGTGGCACGAACGGTCTTTGGCTATGGCTATGTCTATGGCTCGCTACCGTTGCCGTTACTTTTTTTTTATTATTATTATTACTGTTATTGTTGTTGTTGTTGTTGCTACTGTTGGTTTTGTTTTGATTTTGCAAATTTATGTTTTAATTTTGTATTTGTAAATGTTAAGGTGACCAAATATTTTTTTTTTGTTTGTTTTAGTATTATATGTGAAGCCCATAATATATTACAAAAAATCTTATATTATAAAGTTAATAAGTCTCCCTTATGCCCGATCCCTATCCAATACATAAGTTCTACACGATCTGTAAGAGTTTCTGACATCTGAAAGAAGTGTGTTCGTTATTTTTTATACGAGAACAAACAATCTACCTACATACGAGTATAAACATGTTTAACTGACTAAGTAAGAACACAGGCTGATACCAAATCACAACTTTGCATGAGTCAACAATTTTTAATCACATTTTTTTAACGTCAATCTATGACGAAGATTATAGTTGTCTATTAATCAAATCATAACATCTTTGCCAACTGTTCGCTACTAAAAAAACATATAAAATTGTATTTCTTGACATGACCTATTTTCATATGAGTACACATATGAAAATAGGTGTCCAGCACTGAAGAATATATAACAGTTGTTTTCTTAACTTTTGTGTATTTTGTGATCTTTGTTACTTCGTCGACTTTTAACGAGCTACTTTAATAATAAATAAATATATAAAAAAACGTAAAACTGTTTTGAAATCAAAACAAGTCACGATACATATTGGTTATTAGGGGGCTGCCTATTGGAACCCTCACATTCTAAATTATTAATAAAATTTATTCAGACTCTCTCATCACGTGTTGTGAAATAACAGATATATATATTAAAAGACATATTGTCGTCAATCGTTATCTAAAGTAAACAAAATTCTCCATTTTTATCTAAGTCTAAGTGAGTAAAATGTGGACGAGTCATTTTGTAGTTATATTAAAGTGTTACCATTTAGTGTTAATCACAAATAAAAATATAATTAATTAATACAATTATTCTATAGCTGGTTTATGTTTTTGTTCTAATATAAACACAGCAAGTGAATTTGTTAATTAAAAATAGAAATATAATTAAAATGTTACCTTAAATTTTTAAATTAATTTTTTTCTGCATGGTCAATAAGCTTTGGGAAGATAAGCTTTTTAATGCGATAAAAAGACATCTACAATTAATATATAATGAAACTTCAATTTAGTTGATCATGATGGGTATTTCACTCTAGAGAAAATGAATGATAATGACACTAAAACTAAGATATATCAACAATTCAAAAGTTAATGATGATATAATTAGAGAAAACTCTCCGTGGCATGTTAGCAAACCAGGTGGACGATACCAAAATGTATAATTCCATTACGGAACAGTAATTATCATATATCGATGTTTTTGAATGCCTTTTCTAATAATAAATACATAATGTAAATGAAAACTGTAAACGAAATTTCAGCAACAATTTAAAATTGTTGATATACATTGAAAATAAAACGTAGCTGTCCTTGCTATCACACGAGATATTGGAAATCCCTGAAACACAAAATGTTTTCATGGTCCTTACAATAATCTATGGATTGGATGCATTATATAAAAAACGATGTTAACTTTCTGTGAAAAATCCTTATCTTACACCTTAACTGAAATCAGTGACTTCACTGTTGTCATAGTTAAATATAAATCAATCAGCCAATATATTAGACAAAGTAATATATATATTAAATTGTTACGAATTCGGTTCCAAAACAAAATTTCTTTAAGAAAAAACCCCGAATTCGACACACATTTGAACTTGACTATAAACTTTAGATCAAATGGTAAAAGCCAAATATGGTCACCCTAATGCAAGCAAACGTTTTTGTTGTTGCAGTTCATAAAATTTGCTACCCACCCATATGGGCATTGTGTGCCAAGTTCTTATTAATTAAGTTCAAATTAATGAAATTTATTTTTATGTATCAAATCTATGAACGTATATTGCCTAAACGTGAAACATTAAATGCAAAAGGAAAAAATATAAACAACAAACGACTTTATTCTAATTCCATGTAATAATTGAGTCAAAAAAAAAAATAATAAAGAACACAAAAGGAACAATACTTATATTATTAGGAAATTGAAAAATTTTAAATAGTACATCTTAGGTAAGCTAATATGCTTACCTAATAATAACACCAACAGGCCCCTCTTCAATAAATAGGTTATGATATCATAACTGATATTAAGAAGAATCATTATTAATAATTCACTTCATTGTATTTTTATATTAAATAACATCATTACCGATTTATAAAAACGTTTTGACATTACATTCATGTCAATATTAGTTGTGCTATACTTTTCTGGTTTCAATATAAGTACAAATATACAACATTATATATGCGAAAGCTCTCTTTTACCTATATATGGTATGTATAAGTATAGCCCAAATTTTTGTAATATATAATGCTTTTTAATAGATAATTTTTTAAAGATCATAAAACTCTATTTTATGACTTTTAAGGCATATTTAAAATTTTCAGATAATATGAATTGCAGTAAAAGTATTCCAAAGATTTAAAATAACAAGTGACACTATTTTTATTACATATGTTATGCTCGTGTCGAAATACTATTTTATAATTTTTACAATATTCAAAAATCAGTCATTTCATAAGAGGAAATTACATTCTCTCAAACATTAGAACTTAAATAACTAAATACATAATATAGCTATTAATTCGCCATCACGAAAATCGAATCTCGATACACTGCACTGCTTTTTGAGGATTAATCCTGATGGATGAATTTTCTTGAGATTAAATTGGATAAATATCATACACATTAACATGTACACAAACACATAGATGTACCTGTAGTGTGTACGGGTACAATAGATCTTATTACTTATTCTGTTTTCTTTTAAAAATTGCGCGCATCGGATGTTATTTATCGAGTCAGGTCTTTATTTGTGTTTAGTGGTAACACTGCCATTACCATTTGTACTACTGTAAGGTAGTTGCGATACCTTTGATAGATTGCACTGTCGTAATTTACTTCCATGTTTCCACTTATTTGATTTAGGCAATTTTGCTCATTAAAGCCGCTTATGTGGATAAATTACCTTACAAAGAGCTTTCATATAAATGAGCTCATTATAAATAAATCAACTGATTCAAGGTGAAAAATGTCGAATGTAACTCTTAAAAATAAATTTTCTATAAGGGAAACGATCAAAATTTGAAATATTTGTCATATGTTTTATATGTAAAATGTAAACAAACAAGCTATTTCATATGCATAAATCGTTTATGTCAATGAAAACGAAAATTTTATATTCATTAACATAAGTAGTTTTAGCTGTAGTGAAAACATAATATATGTCTTAATACTGATTTAAGTCATGCTTACATCATCAACTTAACTGATTTAATCCATACCTATTTCAATTTTGAGACTTTAGTTAAGCCTCCATAATCGGCCGAGCGCATGAGCATGGTATACATTTAAGTCGATTTTTTGGGTGAGAATTCGTCAGATCAGAAAGTTTGTTTGAAATCTATGTGAAACTCAAAAACACATTGTAAATGATGTGAGATTTTATCGTTTTAAAACGTATATCAGTGCTGGAAACGTGGAACTAATCAAGCGGAGTGTGCTTGTTATTAGAAGAATCACTGTTAGAGAAAATCACTGTTGGAAAAATAAGAATGTCGTATGGTTTATGCGATTCGATTTTTGCAGATGTTTTTATCATGAAACGAAAGGCAGTGAAATTTGTTCTATTTCTATTTCATAAATTCGAAAAGACATTCAACAATTAACATTTTTTAATCATAGATGGGTTTCCAACAGGGTTTCCAAATTGGAAATCTACGGTGGCATTAGTCCATAATAGCAACGAGAGACTATTTTGAAGGATTGAAATAAGCGTTGACACGTACTAAAAGCAATTTAATTTAACAATTTAGTTATAAAATTAAAAGCTAGATAAACAGATAAACAGATAGATAGATATCACAATAGTCATATAAAAAGCAGTGTTCTTTGGACTTTGTTAACGGGAAGCTACAAAATTATATACAGAACTTACTATCTAAAGAACATCAAAATGATCTGAATGGTTGGTAGATAAGTAGAACATCACAGTTTTTTCTTCAATTTTCTAGTTTGTTGATATGAAGCATAGGATCTCAGTTGCTTTGTTTGTTGAAGCTACTCTTACACCTCACATTCACTTCATTCTGGTTTATCCTACCAAATGGGTCGCCTTAGTGATAGGATCAATACTGCTTACGCTGAGCGCTACTCTTACACCTCACATCCACTTCATTCTGGTTTATAATACGAAATGGGTCGATAGAGCTTACCCCGAAATCAATTTTAGTGAACTTTTCCGAAGACATATGAACCTTTATTTATGTATTAAATACTTCAATTTACGAAAACTACACAGATCAACAAATATTACTAGAACTAATATTAAGTTTAAGTATAAATAAATGATGATGCAAAGTTTTCACTAAAAATTTTGGCATGCAAAAAAAATCAGAATCTCTGAAAATCGCGTGACTTTACGAGTGGCAGAAAAAACCGAGAAAAACATCGGAAACCAAAAAACAACTGCAATCGATAACCAAGCAGCGGTACTACGAGCATAGCATTTGACCTACACATGAAAATGGAAAATGCATTTACAATGTAACACTCGGAAAAGAACTTTGGAATAGCGCTGGTATTTACCAATAATTCAGTAAGATGCGACACAAAATTAGAAGAAACTGTAACAAACTGTGCCCAAGGCGACATCTTGACTTACATGAGCGTTGATTTCGCGAAATATCCTGAGCTACACGACTGCAACTCCTGTTTCAGTTGTTGCTCTGCCAGTTGCAATTGCTGTTGCTGTTGCTGTTGCTGTTGCTGTTGTTCTTGCTCTTGTTCTTGATGTTGTTCTTGATTTTGCACTTGATGCAGTCGTTCTTGCTGCAGTTGCTGCTTAAATTGCTGTGTCGCTTCTAATTGCCACAAATTGCTTAACCAATTTTGTGCCGTTGCATATGTGCAACCCAAAACTGATGTGACTGTTACCACAGCTGTTGGTGTTGTTGTTTTTGTTAATGTTGTTGAATGTGTTGTTGTTGTTGTCGCTGTCGCTATCTCTGTCGCTATCGCTGTCGGTGCTACTGATGTTGCTGTCAATACTGTTGGTAAAATTGATGCTGCACTCGATGCTGTTAAATTATCAATTGCTTTAAAGGATGTTGTTGTTGATAGTTTTGTGTCAGTTGTGACTTCTGTATTTGCTAGTGTGCTTGGCTCTTGTTTTTGCGTTACTGCAAAACTCATGACAACTCCAAGCAAACCAAGTACAGGAAGCTGTGTGCTTCTCTTAATTTTGTTCTTAATTTAACTTAACAATATCGAATTAACTGATCATTAAAGCACTTAACCGGCAGCGCTACACTAATTTATAACTTCATTCGAGTATTTTTGTTTGAGATTTTCTGTTAGTATTCGATTTTTCCTTTTTTTCGCGTTTCTCTTAAAAACTATATTCTTTTCACGTATTATATACTTAACACCTTACATTAATATCTTTTTATTATGCTAAATATATTAACATTGCTTATATTTTATTCGTTTTATTTATGCAAATGAGATTCAGTATAAATTCTTTTAATATTTTGCAAAGCAAAATTTTTCTCAGCGCATCGAAGACACGACAGAAAATGTTGACGACGACGTTCACTTTTAGCAACAAAACCATACAAAGAGAGCAAAACAACCCAACAGTGTTGCATTCAATACGAAAAGTATTACAAATGTCGTATACAGATGTGAAGTAGTAGAGTTGCCAGTCATCGTTAGCTAGAAGCATACATTTCAAACAGCTGTTTAAATTCGTCAGTGCGTAACTATGCTGAACACATAACCAATTTGTATAAGGCTTTAAAACTAAATTACTTGTAACATAAGAAATAAGCAGACCAATTTTACTTTATGGAAAACAAATGCATTTGGCTATTCATGTTGTTTACATTTTACATTATATAATTATTACAAATAACTTAACCTTTACTAGTTTTGTGTTTCCGGACACAAAAAAAACAGTAAAAATTGCAAAAAAATTCAATGTGTAAGCTGTGAGACAAACATACATATATAACAAATTGGTTGATGAAAAAAAACAGTTGATTTATGTAAACATTAAATTTGATATACATATGTAGCTATTTAAAATATTACGTGGAAAATAAAAAATTTAGCTACATTTATTTGGGAGAGATCATTTTAATTTTATTTATTTTATTATTTAATAAACAATTTGAAAATAATTACAAATATTTCTTATTTCCTTTTGGTTTTCACATGTTTACTGAATATGAGTTCCCGTTCATGTGCTTGTAATTAAGGGCACTACATGAGTTTTTGCTAGCAAAAATACGGGAACATGCCGAATGTATGATGAGAAAACAAATGAACCAACATAATACTGTAAAATCAGTAGAACTATTTATTATATATGTTTGTATATTGTTAAAATTAAATTAATGATTTTTCGTAGTAGAAAACAAAAATATTATATCCCCATAACCCTTTATATGAAGAGCTTGCGAATGAACCTTTTATTTACATGAAATGCATTTCCGAAACGACAAAATTAAAATTAAAATAAACTATTGTAAATATTGTATTATTTATATCTGAAATATAAGTATATATATATATATATGTGTGTGTGTGTGTATGTACATACATATTTAAAATATTTGTTTCGAAACATATTCCAATGCAAAATTACAGTGCTTATCAAAATATCAACATTTGAGAGTTACTGCTTTATATGGTAATTCATTCAGCGATTAGAATGTCTGTCAATACTGATTGCTGGAAAATCATAATTAAGGATATATGTTATCCCAATTTAGTTTTATTTTTAATAATATATATATATATATCACGATGGAATAAACTTTAAGTCCATACAAAAATTGTATACAATTAAAACAAAAAATTCATACAAACTAGGCTGTATCATAGTGCCATCCAGATAATAACGAATTCTTTTTTTATACCAAGCTATGAATATTCATTCCAAATATAATATAATTAAAATCAACAATTTTTAAAATAGTTTTACAACATTAACGATAAATGCAATATTTAAATTAGTTTGTAGACTTATACATATATTACTGAGGCGCCGACATACATTTCAATACATACCTACATACATACATACATTCATATGTACAATATAGTGCATATCATATTTTATTCCATTTTTATGGGAATACCTTTTGTAATTCATTTTTTATATTATTAATTGTAGTAATAGAAAATATTTTATATATATAAAGAATAGAATATAGAAAGTGAAGAAATATCAATTTGCTATTGCATAGTCTGTAGAAGTTTTAAAACTTTCTAAAAGATTAAAGAATAATATAAACACAATACAATTAATTGGCTCACATTATATTTATTAAAATATTTAATTTATTAATTTATACAATAGTATTTTACGTTATTTATAATAAATTATTTTAAATGGTAAAACCTTTTCCCAGTTACAAGATTAATGATTTTCAGTGACTAGAAATATTTCGTGAAATTAAAAATCTTAACATTTTCTTTTTCATCTTTATATAATATTTATTTCTTTCTATTTGTTTCATAATAATGTACAACATAATTTCAACTAGAAAATTAATACTTATAATTTTAAATAGAAAGCATTCAAAGTAATTGATACCGTAGCGTTCACTCGAAATACTACGACAAAAAAAATTTTAAATAGAAATTACTTCCAACTATTATTTCATAAAAAGCATTGAATTAATAAAATAGATTAAATAGTAATATAAAATTTGAAATTTGGAATTTGAAGTTTATATACCAATTCACATTTTAAAAATAAATATTTATACAATTTAAATGTACGGTATGAAAATGATATATAGTATTAAGCATTTTTAAGCGAAGATTTTTTTGATATCTGTGTTTCATCTTTTGCAGGTTTAGAGTCATTATCTTCAGATTTTTGTATGTCGGGTATATCTTGCAAACGAACACTCCCTTTAGTACCGACATTAGTGATATCACCGCTGTTGCAAAATTTAGTGTAAACTATATTATCAGAAACAACTTCTGATATAGATGAACTAGATGCCATATTTAAAAGCATTTCTTTATTTATCGTTGACGAATATATGGGTTGTATCGGGGTTGAACCAGATCCAGACTGGTCATCCGGGCCCGGGAGATGGATTCCGAACTCAGATTTAATCGTGCTGCCAGGTGGAAAAATATGTATTTTAGGTCGTTCCTTTAAACAGGTGTCTGGGTCCGCTGCAGGATCCATTTCCTTCAAGCGTGGTGTGTAAACAGGTCGGTCTATTAACGAGATAGTCGGTTTTGTTTGTTGAATTTTTTTTGGTAACCTACATGGTCTACACGCGTTTGTACTATAACTTGCAATTCCACTTGTATCGCTATTGATACCCTCATGTTCTTCACTTCCTTCGTGCGATGGATAGATTTCGGTGTCTACGTATCGTTTCATTGAAACTGTTGAAACTCCCTCGTGCTTTCCGAAACGCACCACATGAATATAGGGATTAACAGCAGGCTTGAACTTCATGCAAGTTCCAAATAAAACATGTTGAATGATTGGATATTTTGATAAAATCTAAATATTAGCAAATATTAATAAATATATTGTTTAAATGTTTAAGAAACTTTGGTTTAACTTGATTCGCAATTGGATTTATTTCTTTTTTTTTGCATATAAACTAATTATCTCTAAATCACCAAATTTGAATATAAACAATAACTCAAAAAGAAAAATGTGACCTAAGGCAGTACAAATGCTGACTGGTACAATATGATTAAATAATATTAATGAAATCAAGATCATTACAGAAACGCTGGTTAGCATTTAAAAACAAAAAAAAAAATTGTACACACTATTACCTTAATAGAGTATCCTTTTTGGGGCTTCAACAACAACAACCTTAATAGGATACAAAATAGTCGTCTCTACGATTTAAGCAATTATATACTTTCCTTCAGATTTTTATTTTGTTATTTAACAATTAAATAAAAAATATATATAATTAGCTTATTCACTAAGACTCACTAAGACATATCTACATATCAAATCTCATTTGATGATTTCCATTTTTGTTTCTGTTGTTGTGCTTGTAAATTAAAATGTCGAATGTTAATTAATTCATGGAATCCGATTGAAATTTGCAAAGAAGTGAGACAAACAAACTGAACGAGAGAGAAGTATAAACTGATACTAAATTATGAAAACTCGTGCTGTCTGAATAAGCTAATACATAACATCTTGGGCTTATTTTTTTACTCTCTTCTCATAATAAAATTTATTGTAATACGACCCGTGATAATTATACTAAGTCTGCGCGCATCTCTTATTAAAAGTACACCCTATCCACTGCAGACTGCAGTATAACAGTGTGTGCATAAATTAATTTTACTGTATTTTAAATCTGAGATCATTGTTCATAAAAGTATTCTGTTGAATAATTTGCATAATTTGTTATAATTTACTCATCCACATATCAATTCTAAACGCTTCTATGATGATCACGTGTGTACTAATATCATAAAAACTAAACATCTAAGAATTTCTTTCAAAATTTTATTGAATTCCCATTGTATAAATTTTCTAGGAACTTCCTACAAAAAATTAATAATTTAACAATTCTGTTGAATGGCAGTCAACACTTTTGCAAACCAAATTTATTACATAAATAACCAGTTTACCTCTTTTTGATACATTTTGATTAAGCCTTGTGTTATCTTAGCCCATGTTTCCACTGCAGAAATACTCCAGAGTTGATTCGAGTGTTCAGCGAAGTGTCCCGTTTTTACCTAGAAGCCAATGCATATTAATAAAATTATTTATCATACATATATGGTAATTATGCTTCCTTTTAACTTAAATAGCAGTATGACCGTATGCGTAGAGATGATATATAATTTAGAGTCAACAATCGCTTCATATATATCATATTAGTTATCTTGTATTAAAATTTAATATATCTTCATTTTATATCTCACTTTAATATCTACATACACTTTCACAATAAGTTAGACTACACTGCCATTTGAGGTAAGATCAATATTATATCATACACTTGCCTGATTTATATAATCTATACATCCAAGGAACATATATTGTTCTTTATATTCTTCAACAACTGTCTTGTCAAGAAATTTCACAGGCTCAAACGGTGGATCAACTGTAATTGATTAGGTTTGAAGAATGTCTATCGTATACACATTAACAGTTTTATATACTTGCAAGTTGTGCACTACCAAATATAAACGGTATAAATTGATAATCATCCAACGACCAAACACCCTGGCTACCAGCAGGCTCCATTCGATATATTTGTTGTAAGGTTCGCACAAACTGTATGTATGTATTAAACAAACGCAAAGCGCATGCAGGACTGTCAGCTTCAAAGAGTATTTCTGCTTTGTACAGTGAGCATAGGAAAAACATAAACGACAATTCATGTCCAGTGCCATAGTCTATGCGCACAGCATTACCAAATGACTCGGTAAAATAATGACCAAGCTCCATTATCAATTCGCATTTGCTCTTAGGAATTATCCTATCTATATGCTTGTATATATCCTAATACATAATAGCGTTTTCTTTTTAAAATTCAATACTGAATACTTAATTTATTTACTTACTTGATGCATTTGATGGTACCATTCACGAAATGCTTTGTTACCAAATCGTTGAGGTTGTTCAATAGGTGGATGATGGCTAAGCATTTCGTTTAAAACGTCAAATAAACCGATTAGATTATTCATTGTGTCCGAAACATAGATATCATCAGTGATGCTCAACCCTTGTATTGAGACGCAAACACTATTTATAAAACCTATCAGATCAACGTATGCTTCCGACATTTGCCATTTGGACATGTCGTGTATATTTTTAATGCATTTTATTGGGTGACCTGCCTTCGACACATCGACTTAAAGATTAAACAATAATTGTTAAAATTATTACATTATCAATTAGGATTTAAAATATTTACAAGGGATGTTCTCCGGCAGTTCGAATGTTTCCAAATCCATTTTTACCGAAACCTTCCTGTTTGATTTTTGTAAAAGTTCCAAACTATTCCTAAGTATACATAAGCGATAAATAAATCAGCTGTTAATACAATAATATAAATGTCAAAGTTGCCACTACGCATATAATAACTTAAATGTCAAATATTAATGAGGACTGCTTTTACAAAGAAATGATTTTAAAAGATTTATTTAATATATACCAATATAAAATAAATGATTGTTATAATAATAATAAAGTTAATCACATTACGTTTCTTTATTTATTTATTGTCATATACTTTTCTACAAGTGACAATATGCAATATGCAATTTCAGATATAAGTTAAAAATTACCTTTGTAAAATAGATATATCTGCAATATTTTGTGAGAAAAGAGACACTCTAAATATTGAACTAATAAATATTATGTGATGCTGAATAATAATATAACATATAATATATAATTGTTAGCTTACTTAGTTCTTAACAAAACTTTGTTAAAATATATATACAATAATTACAATATATATTGTGATTTTCAAAAATATTTACTCAACAAAATTACACAAAATGTTCGACCAATGTTGTGTATGAATTTTATACACTAGCAACATTATTTATGAAGTTTGACAGTTGTCATTTTAACTGAGTAGTGTTTGTTAATAGTTTATTATTATGAAGTAGAAATGAAAAAATATTATTCTTATCTGTAACTTGAATGAATAAAGTTGAAATACAAAAACCAAGTATTAAACGAGCATAGTGTAGTTCCACCTCTGATACAAAAAATAGGATATATTTTCATTGAGGATGCATGTATTTACATGTCACTATGCACAACTGCTGTTCAAAATTTTCATTTAATTCTCAAACTTCCGGAATTAATTTACTATTTACAATTTACGAAAGCCGCAATTTTTTCTTTCAGAGTTGTAAAAAAACTCCACTAAGTGTGGTAAAAGAAGTAGGCATCACTTTTAAAATATATTAAATGCTTTTTTTAACATATGTTTTTTATTGTGTTTTCTACAATATAATATATATAAAAATTGTAAACACTGATAAATAATTAATTTAAATAAGAGAAAACAAAATGAAAATTGCAAGGGCAAGGATAAGCACTTTTATCTTATATATTTAAATTAATTTACTTATATATGTATTTCAATTTATTAGTAAATGAAATGCTCATATGATTTTAACGGATGACTGGAAATTTGCAGCATATTTCCAGTGAATATTCACAATAGACTAATTTATTAATTAAAGCAATATATTGACGTTGCTACATGTATGCACACCAAGTATGCAGACGAAGTATGCGTTTTGCTCTACACTTCGAAACAAGGTATAATTTTAAGGCATACAAGTCTGCCAACCCAAAATTTGGTATGCATATTTGAATGTTGCTTTAGCTGCAACAAGGTTTAAGACGTAAAAATTTTTGCGAGTAAAACCTAACTCTGAAGATTTTAAGAGCATTGTTGTTACTTCATATGTTTTTTTTTTGTATGTTACGAATATTTTTTTAGAAACAAAAAAAAATTACGGCTATTTTTATTTAACAAAAAATATTAAAACAAAACTTTTGATAAAATATACAAGTATAATAAATGTATAAAGATAAATTACAAAAAATTTCAATCAGAAATAGAGATAGAATAACGCATTGACGAGAATCAACATTATGCTGTTCACCAACAGACAGACATTGTACATTAAGATTGATGTCATAACACTATATATAGTTCATTATGACAAAATATTTAATATTGTCCTTTCAAAAATTTATATTCTTCTTTTACCAATTTTGTATTTACTATTGTTATTATAAGGTTTTTATAACATACTATTAGCATAATTAATGATTTACTGCAGAAACTGATTTAAGTACATGGATTTAATAATACTTTTCTCTGATTAATATGTTATATATTTATTAGGATAATTTACAAAATGCAACTTTGCCTGTCAGATTTTCTTCAGTTGATTACGCCGGCCAGTTTTGTTTAATCGCCTAAGTGGTTGCTGTTATTGGACAAAAATATTTTTATTTGTTAATATTTCGTATGAATATATATTGATTTCATAATGTTGGAAGAAGCTTTTACATGGCAATTTAATATAATAGCGCCACCAAATTTAAAATTGCGAACACCGACATGGTTTCATTTACCCCACCCAATGACGATCTTCTCGTTTGTGCTGTTGTCCTATTTTTTGGTGACTGGTGGTTAGTTTAATATATTTTATAGATTAATAAGTATTGGCTTTAACATTTTGCATAAATATTTTAATTTTTTCTAGGTGTTATTTACGATATCATAGTAGAGCCGCCAAGTGTCGGCGCTACAGTAGATGAAAATGGTCATTCTCGTCCAGTAGCGTTTATGCCTTATCGTGTTAACGGCCAGTATATTATGGAAGGATTAGCAGCAAGCTTCCTCTTTACTATCGGTAGCTTAGGATTTATAATAATGGATCACAATCACGTTCCTGGCAAATCGAATCTTAATCGTGCATTGCTCAGTGCAATGGGATTTATATTTATTATTGTCTCATTTTTTACAACTTGGCTTTTTATGCGTATGAAATTACCTAGTTATCTGTTAGGATAGCTGTAGGAGTATACCATATTTTATATTATTTATTCTCCACATAAGCTTATATATATTTTTTCGATTATCTTTTACGTTAATATGAAAGTTAACAATCAGTGAGCTTAATAAAAATGAGGTTAATTTTTGAATATCTGAACGTTTAAAATTTTCACATCTATCAATGAATATTACTTTTACTAATTGTGTCTATATAAAAGATATAAATATGTATGCCAGCTTCAATAATTGATTAATATTGATTTAAAACTAATCTCCAATTTTCAAAAGACTAAACAACTGCAACATAAGTATTGTACATTTAATTTTATTGTTAGTGTAAAATATATATGGATATATCTTAGCTAAAATTTAATTATTGTAGGTGAAGTTATTTTTTAGCTCTTTGAATGATTTAAAATATCTATATATACGGAGATGAATATACAAGTGTGAAGTAAATATGTTTCAAATAGATTCGATTGTTTTAAAAACTTTCGAACTAATACGTATATAGTATACTGCTTCTTTATTTAATAATATATTACGAATATAAATACATATATCGGATTACTGGTTTAAAAATTGGTTTTAATTTTCTAGTGCGTTAAAATTATTAATAACACAATAATAACATATGTACATGTATAAGGTTTGAAAATTACATTAAACTGTTGTAATTTATGTAAAAAATTGTAAGAAATTCACAAGCGATTTTTGTTTAAATATTGAATATCTATTCTATTAAACTTTCTTTTTTAACAATGTTATGATTAAGTTCTTTCAAGATACTTATTCACAATATATATGACATATGTTTAAGTATCATCTAAATGTAATTTTTGTACGTATAAGAAAGTTAAATAATAAGAAATTTCAGTAATGGATACACATTGTCCTGTTAAATAATTTATTATAATTAAAAATAATTAATAATTAAAAAATATGTTATACTAATAATTATAAAACGTTTTCCTTACATCTTATATTCAAAATCAAGCAACAATTGTTATCAAATTAATTATTAAAATATTTAAATAATAACTTTGAAGTTGAAATTTCAAATAGAGAGCACATATTAAAATATATATCTAATAATGAATAAATAATATGACGATGAAAAAAAATTAATAATAAAATTTCTTTATCCTTTTCACTTGGTTTTTAAACGATTGCATTAGTTCGTAAAAAAACAATATAAAAATAAAAAACTGGAAAATTACATGAAGGCTTAATTTGAAGCAACGGTTTGGAAATGTAAGTATCCAAGTAGTGAAGTAAATGGTTAAAGGATTATTGTTGAGATAAGCAGGCGATTAAATGTTTCATATGCTATATACATATACATATTTTGCATTTTTTACATATATTAAGATTTTCTGTATATAGTTAAAAACTCTTTCTTTATCACTAGGATAAAATATTTAGATTTATTTAATTAACTTTAACAAAATTGATGTAAAGTGATTTGTATATTAAGAAGCGTCATAGTAAAAGTACAGTTTTTCATAAAATTAATTAATTAATCAATTTGGAACGAATCTTGATGGAATGTTATTAGACGATTTATTCGGAACGTATAGGTAAATAGGGATACGCGATCACTTGACGGAAAGTCGGAAAATCCGTGAAGCTTTTAAAGCGGGCTTTTTACTAAAAGCTCACTGGTCCGGTTATTGTGAAGTTCAAAAAAAAGACCTTTAGGAACTTGAAATCAGAGGTGTGTTGTTTTCAACATATTTCCTGGATTGTAGAATTGCTTTAACGCAAAAAATTAATTTGCCCGCGAAACAAATGCAGTTTGATTGGCGTACAGCTAGAGAGATAATCCCAGATGAAAATCTGGGAGGTACTAGATAAAATCAAGTATTATTTTTCCATCAGAAGTATGATGACAGTTTTTTTTAGCAGAAGTTTATATAATACTGAAAGTGGTAAATTAGTTTATAAAGAGGAACTGGTGCATAACGTACATTGTGCGCCATTTTCAAAGTAACAAAAAAATAACTTTCGAAATTTTTTACGTAATTAAAGAGAAACATAGAGTGTAGTTGGACACCACATGGTCACGGTGGGTATTAGAACAGATCCGATCATGCTAGCTTATCTCAATGATGTGGGCAACATAGAGCACTTCGTCTCTGTATTAAGATTGTTCGGATATGGCGTCCTGAGCATAAACAATGCTTTTTCTGTCCGAACTTCTTGGATTCAGTATATTATTTTTCTATTTAAGTCCTTTCTTTATTCTGATACTTTCAAGTTTATTGCAATATAAAATTCTTGTCTTGAATTGGACAACACGTTTACTACTTTAGTAAAGGAGACACCAGAGATTACACAATGTTTGAACAAAACATGACAAATCGAGTTAAAAGAATACATCTGTCGATCCATTAGTTTTTCAGGCCGTCGGCTATCAGTCAATCAATTTGCCTCTTAATATGTTAAATAGTTTATCAGTTCTGATGTCACCATAAAGTAGCACCATAAAATAGACTGTCTATATCAGTCAGTGCCCACATGTATGTTGAAAATTAATATACGCACATATGATTTTACATTAACTAAAAACTTTTTTAAAAAGTTTTGCAAAACTGATTCGTCTATGTTGGACTACAAAAATAACGGAATCTTTTTCCCGGAATAATTAAAAGGACGCAATCAATATGTTTCTCCTACCTCTTTTGGTTTTCTAAAATAACATTTTCGGAGTACATTTATTATGTCACTGTTCGAGTTTTTTTTTTTGTTAATGTCTACTCAATTTATTTAAAAATTGTTATATACATTAGATTCCACTTTTTATAAGGTTCCAGTTTCTAGGAGTTCTCTAGACTCCAACGCTTACATTGCTTTTCGTCAATATATCAGATATACAAAAATATGTGCAAAAAATCCCCTTTACCCCCCGTAAGAAAAGAAAACAAAGAGAACAAAAACATGCTAAATGCACAATATACATATATACATATGTATGTGTTTTTGTCTGTGTGAACAAGTGAAAAAAAAAATTGGGCTTCCCATATGTATGTATATGTATATGCATATTGGAGAGAAAAGGATCGATACTCATGTTCTCATATAATCTGCAATTTCGCGAAGATGATGTGTAAACACACCAACACTTGTTTACACAAACACACCAAAATATTTATAACGGTTCTTCAAAATTTTGGCGGTTATATCCAATTTCTTCTAACACCGACATGCACTTTTGTTGCGGCGCTCGGACAGTAAGGAAGTGTATCAGAAGTTTGGATTAAAAATGTCGGAAAATAAAAACGTCGTGCGAAGCAAACAATTTAAATAAACAATTGATAGTAAAAATAAAAACAAATTTCACTTTAATAGTGAATACAGTTTAAATTAGGTTTTGAGAAAGGCTCTTCGTTTTTTCTTCAATAATTAATAATTGTAAATAAATCTAATATAAGTTCCTCTATTGTGTTTTTATTAAAAGTGAATTTAGTTTAGCGTAAGAATAAAATAGTAAAGATAGTGTTAGTAATAATTAGTGATAAGTCCTAGTGATAATTTAATTTGTTCGGATATCCATTTATGGAGGATCACATTAAAAAAAGTCAAGCTACATTTAGCCGGTTGTAAATGTAAGTACTTTATTTTGATATATAAAATTTCTTGTGAGAACAGCATATTAAATATGTATATTTTATAAATGTTGCAGTATCCATTTAGTAATAATTTAGTAGTAATAATTTACAATAATAATTAAGATTTTCAGGACAAATCAAATTTTAATTCAAATATAATTACGTGCGCATGTGAATTTGCATTTTTTTTTTTAAATAAAAAATGGCGGAAAATCTAAAAAAAAATCTAGAATGTACGAAAAATGTCCGTTATGTTTGTAATTTTTTCATCTCTCTTGGAAGCTACAATTAAGGAGTAAATAGTTGAGGTGCGTGCTTCATAAATGCAAGAAACAGATAGTGATAAAAAAGAGCACAAGTAGTAATTAAAAAAATCCGTTAAGTATGTATATAAAATAAAAAGTGCAGTTATAAAGAAGTGAAAAGAGAAGAATAACAAGGAAATGACACTGTATTATTTGTTTCTCTTATTTTAGAGTTACCATATTTTAGCTCTTATATGTGTGCTCATTTGGAAACAAAAGTTTATGCGCATATGCGCAGCTTGCTAAACAGAGACACATTATTATTTTAATAATTAATAATTATATGTTTTTTGATAAACACTTATTAATTTAGTTTTTAATATTTTTTGGGTATATTTTGATTTTTATAAAAAATATTTGTATTACAAAAATTTGTAGTAGAGATATTTTTTATAAAACTTAAAATATATTCAAAAATATTTAACACAAACTTATGTAATTTTTATTTTTAAATTTTATATGTTAAATGAACGACCTAAACCCAATTTAAACACAAAATTATTCAAATTTAATATTAAAGATACGTAGATATTTCACTAATTGAAATGTGTTTTTTAAACGACAGTTTTTAACAGAAAATCATTGTTTTAAATAAATTTTGTGCAGTTGACAAGTTAAGTACATAAACCCTACGACATCAGTAGATACAAAATTTTAGTGTGTGCTGCCACATTGTCGTCCTATATTAAAGCGACATAAATGCATGAGATTTTTTAACCTAAAAATCGAAAAATTCTGATTAGAATACGCGTTTTAATTTTTGTATTATTCGGGACGCAGGATATCAAATAAATTACTAGATTAGAAACACTCGAGATATAATTGTCATATACGAATTTTTAGTCAATTAAGGTCGTGTGCGAGTTAGGCTAAGTTGATGCTAAACCAAATGGGAGATTTTTTGGGATTTTTTGCACTGCACACATTTTGCCATTTATCAACACGATCGCCACATCAATACATTATCGACACAACTTAGAATTTCCCTCATTTAGAACGCAACTTAGCCTAACTCGCACACGACCTAAGTATTCTTTAATTTAATTATTCTATTTGAATAAACATGGGAATTTTTATTTTAAATTTCCTGTAGTTTTTTTTAAAAATTTCCTGTGGTTTTTTTTAGGAAAATCTTGTTTATCTTAAAATTTTGTTAAACATAAATTTTTTCTATCATCACGAATATGTTTTGTAAAGTAATATGTATGTATCCCGCTGTGCAAAAGCGATGCACA